AACATGAACGAAGCTGATTAATAAATTTGAAGAGACAGAATCAACTGCGAAATTTAAGATCAAAATTAAAAACTTTATGAAACACTCTATACTTATATAAGAATATAGGATCATCTTACTTCATAGTTAGGATCATTTTATATCCAATCGTTTTGTAGCCTGTTGTTAATGCCTTTGAAATATTACCGTGCTTGAACGTCATTTGGGTTAAATGTATTGGCGATGAACATACTTTTAAATACCTATTAACAGTACCTTCTTATTGGAGTCCTATTTTAAGGGGTTTACATTTAAAAGTGTTAAAGGACGTATACTAATTCCCAAAAGAAAGCCATTGACATCTGTCGCTTTGAGGTATTACATATTATTATGTACTACAATCAATATGGTGTTTCTCCGATGACAGGTAGAGCTCGAGCCGTTTGGCGAAATGCTGCACCGTGGCGGTGTGTTTGGTCTTTCCGTGAGCGACTGGAAACCCATATTTATGACTTGCGGCAAGGTTGACCGGACCGTGAAATTGTGGGACTACATGAGACGCACGTTGCTGCTGTCTCAATGCTACGAAGAGGATGTTAAAGATGTGTCATTGCACCCAACAGGGTCGTACGCGATAGTAGCGTTTCAAGACCGAGTCGTGTTCAACGTTATATATGACTCGGTGGCGCTGAAACCTCGCCGGGAGTTCGCCGCAGCCAATTGCCATTTGGTACGGTTCAGCTTATCCGGTCACATGTTTGCAGTCGTCAACGACCTGGTCGTTGACATCTATTGTTCTGTGACATTCGACAAACGTTTCACGTTAACCGGCCACAAAAACAAAGTAAGTAAGCGATAACGTTTATAAGTACGGGAGTCGTGACCAGGCTCGTACTGGCTACCTCTAAGGGGAGTGGAAAAAATATATTTATAGGACGCCAACTATATTTTTATACATCCACTTCAAATTAAAAAATTGGTGTCTACCCATGTTTGATTTATTTACAAACTCCGCCTGAAGATGTTAAGCACATATCATGATTTATTCTGAAACTTTTAACAAAATACCAATCGAAATAATATGTTTCATAGTAAAGTGGCTAAGAAAATAAATTGTGCACTTCCTTTTAAAATTTTATTTTCTTTAAATTTTATAAAAAAACATAAACCGTAACAGTTTTTTTAAATACTTTAAAAAAAATCACACAAACTTAATAACTTGTCTAATATCTTAATACATGAGTAGACGTTGCATTTCTTTGCTGTTCAAACACAGAGCATTTATGATTTGATCTCCATCTACTTGATTTACTATGTCTCGTTCATACTACATTAAGAATAATGATTCTAAATTTTCTTGTACAATAGTGGACCTTAATCGTGTTTTTAACAATTTTAATTTCGAAAATGACCTTTTTCACGTTACCTGTGTCAGAGGCAGAGTCAGTAAATATTTATACGCTTTGTACAATTCCGGGTATTGTAAAGAATACATGTTATAATCAGTGATTATACGCAATGCGCATGATATACATACATTGAATTCTTTTACTTTACTACACTTTAAATCATACTCATTAGCCCATTCATCATCATCAACGGTATCGATTTGACTTGAATCTTCATACGCACTCAGTAAATCAACTTTGCAAATTAAAGGCCAAGATGTAGCAAAAGAAATAAGTTCTTCCTTGAGCTTTGGCTGATCAATAGAGGGTAACAGTTCACATATTTTAACCAACGCATGATAAGCCATTTTTTCTTATATCTTCGCACCTTCGAGGATCAAAACATTCTAAATCCGTATATAAAATCTGATAAGATAAAAATCGTACCTCTAAACTATTTATAATAGTGTCCATTGTATAATTAAATATTTTTATACGAAATTGATCAATTTCTTCTGTGTGAACTTCTTCATCTCAAGTTAATTCTCCGTCCAAACACTTAACAGTGCGTTTGCTTTTCTTCGAAAGTTTTTCTTCTATATCAATATCTATTTCCTTTTCATCAATTGTTTTAACTGCAAAGTTAACAAATGTCTTAGCAGCCTTTGTTATATCACAAAATCGGTTTCTAACTGATTGTAAGCTTTTATGGGCACTAGAAACATGACCCCAGGCTTCAACGTAATCTAAATTTTTTGTTTGAAGGTAATCGGACAATGGTGTTATTTTGAATATCTGTAGAAACATCATTGTGACTAAAAAGGTTCAAAAGAGCAAAACTTTTTAATTAAACTAAGACTGTGGTTTCTTATTTTTGAATTAAATTGGTTAGAAAATTATTTTTCGTATAGAGCTACTAACAGTTGAATGTAAACAAAATTTTAACTCATTTTCTTTCCTTAAATCATCTTTAATCCAAAAATCAATTTTTCCAAATATTTTAACAATTGCATAATTTCTGCTTTCCCATCTAGTCGCTACACTAACAGCTAGTTTCAGTGATGAATTTTCTTTATGATACACAGACAGTCAACCTTTTATACGATTCCTTAAAAAATACATATGCCTCTTGCACAAGATTAAAAAATGGCATACAAGGAGTAAAACATTGAGTTGTATCAGAAAGAATTAAATTTAAAACATGTGCATAGCGCCATGTATGAACATGATTGGCGATTACTTCAGGCAATTTAGCGGTTATACCGTTGTACTGACCACTCATGTTGGCAGCACCATCAAAAGCGTTTGCCACACAATTATTCAATGGTAAATCAAGTTCGGCCCAAAGCATTCTTTAAAGTTTCAAAAATCGAATTCCCAGACGTATATATGTCCCAAGAGAAAAATAAACTTGATTCTAATCGTTCTTGAGACATTGTTGACTGTAGTTTGGATTTGACTATGAATAATTTGGAGAATTCCCGTTCACAACCACAACTTTTGACTGGTATAACAACAAACTTGGTAGTGACTTCATAGAAATTGGTAAAAATATTCTTTCTAATTGAATCCACTAAATTATCCAACCATTTATAAATAGTGTGAGCACCATTGAGATATTTTTTATTGATGCAAGAAATTTGACTTCGAAGTCCAAATCTTTATTAGAAATGTCGAAAAATGCTTTTAAAACTGAATAATCTTCAACAGTTGGTTGTAATTTAATCAAGTTACCAACAGAAATAATTACCTCTAGAGTACCATATTAGAATCTATTATCAATCTCTCCCAGTAAATTATCTAACATAGGATAAAATACATTAATCCTAATTTGTTCATCATATTTAGTTTGTGAAACAAATTGAGATTCTACATTGTTATCAATTTTTCTCGCAACTTTTCTTTTTAATACTTCTGGAATATCAATTTTGTTTGAAGATAATAATGGTAGTTTTGTAAACGTTATTACACTCTTGTTGATAATTTCTCATTTTACTAAAAATGTTTTCAGTCTTTTTACAATTTCAACAGCAGCTAACAAATCCAGAACAAGAGCTTGAACTCACTTTTATAAAATAATAAAATAGTTCCATGAGATTAATTCCAAAAATAGTTAAATGATTTTAATTTATGTTTTAGTCCTAACCCTTTTGCCCTGACATCAGGTACTTGAGTATTTTCACATATCTCATTAATTGCTGGTACCAGCATACTAAAATTTTCTTAAACTGCTAATACTGTGTAGTATTTGACAGTGACTTCAGAGTTTTTGGTTTATACAAGATTATTTTGATATTTTTTCAAGTATGACTTGTCTGATTGGGGTTGTATCAATGAAGTTTTATGGGAATTGTACTGTTCCAAAAAAAATCAAATACTATTATTATTTTTATTTTTTATTGCGTCGTAACTACAAATTAATATAATGGCTACCCAAATATATAAATATATTATTATTTAAAATATTATATTCAAAGCAATCTAATAAAGCGTAGAAAAGTCATGAGCGTATTTATATCATAAAAAAACTCTGACAAACCAATAAACATTAAAATCTCAGGCAGGTTAATGAAAAAAAAAATTTTCTAGAGATATTTGTACCTAATCTGAAACATGTGTTACATATAGACTTAAGTATACAATAATAATTAGTTACCAACTTATACAGATGTATAGAAGTATAGAGTTATTCATATTACAAAACAAAGAATATTATTAGTTAACACTGACATGCATTACTATCACTATTACTATCATTATTACTTTTCATAGACCGCACTATAATCAAAATATTACATACCACCTGACCTCGTGCACTTTGTTGCCCGTTAAATTGGCAGCTCTATGTGATTCAAACTTTGTTCTATTCTTTGCACTGTAATGATGTTCAACACTTAAACATTTTCATCGGCTTTCTTGAAAGAAAGTAACAAATAAGTTTGTCTTTTCGTAATTTCGCATGTATGTCATAGCGTGTTGAGTTTTTCCATGCATGTGTCTCGACAAGCCCGTGAAATATGAGGTCAAGATAACGTGTTGACCAATATTTGCAGCATTTACATTACCATTCTTATTCAAAGCATCTCTTAAATGTATATATATGTCAGCTGTTAACTTTTGTTGGTTTCGGAATATAACATTCAATCTTTCCGACATCATTTTAGCCAACATGTCAACATAGGATTGACTGAATACATCTCAGTAATGATGTTAAGTATTGAAACTATTATCTTTGACCATTAGTCTGTATGCATAGAACTGCATACAGGAAACTGTTTTGTTTTGTGCTGAACCTTGTTGCTGTATAGTCAGATAATAGCCATCTTATCCTTTCATAAACATCAAAGGATACTGTAGGGGATCGTAAGCACGATCTCTGGGTCCTTTGTCTTTATCTACTAAGAGGACGGCAACTTCGTTTGTTGTAGTCTGTAGAGGAGTTGTATCTTCCTCCATGTTAATTTTGTGGTGTGTGATCACATTTTGCGATCATTTTGTGGTTACATAACACTTCACTAGATGACGTATTCTAGGTATTTGTGAGAATATTAATCCCCATTAAGTATACTCAGTATATTATGGACTTGCCTGACCTGTATCAAGATTAAAGATATACTGGTTGCGGAACGAGCTATGGTGAGAACATTAAACGTGGTTCCCGAAGTGTCCTCGATAAACTGTTGATAAGAATATAGAAATAGCACTGAAATTACGAATTGGTAGGTATTAAATATCAAACTCAAGAGTTTAAAATGCAAATTGCATAGAATTAAATAATACAATTCTCATCAAACAAAGGTTGAGGGCACTTCGGGGGTCTCGTCATCACGCCTCGTTGCGCAACCTGCATATCTTTATTCGTGACCTGTACCTATATAAGGCAGTGGTCGTGGCCCAACCTAGGCTCATAATAAATCGAACTAAATTTTACAGCAACATCCAAGTTAACTCCCTCCCCCTCATTTACACACACTCACACGCATTATCTACAATAACGACATAATAAGTTTTGTTGATTATTTTCACTATTTTGATGAATCAACATTTGCTTTACCATTCATTTCTATTACGAAGTATATGTGGATATATTATTATTATAAGTCTATCTAAAATTGCATAATTCTGTAAAACTTATATAGGTTAATTTGTTAATAAATAGGTATACTTAAATATAGTAAATAATTTTTGAAAAAACGCTTGGGTTTGGTGGTTATACTTTATACCTACAACCATATTATTTATATCATTATACAAGAAGGTTTAAACAACGATGTCATAAGATGTAAGAACATTTAATAGATTCTTAATCTTAGATCACGGATCTAGTTTGGGCCAACAATGACTGGAAGTTGGTGTCGTGTGACATCGATGCTCGAGTATGTCTCTTTAATTTGTACACGAATGAACATGTGATAGATATCAAATTTTGGAATAAGACATTTGTTAGCCTGGCTGTATCGAACGATATGAAAAAAATCTATACGGCCTCTCCAGATGGAAGAGTTAGAGAGTTGTATCATCGAACGGTATGTACTATAATACTTTAATGAACAAATAATTCTAGTACCTATATCTGATTCTGATATACCTATATATTTATTATTTTTTCAATTATCTTAAGTTATTTGTCAGTCGAAGTATAAACAATAAAATAACTTGATTTTTTTCATAGTAATAAATAATAAATTGCTGTTTTGTACTGTTATTTCATTATAAGAGGAAGTACCTACATGCATTTATTAGTCTGAGGAGATTTGTAACTTATAAAAGCTTAGTAGGTATTATTGACGCCCAGCTGTAATCATAATTGGTGCACTATTTAAGTTGACAATTGATCTTTTGGACAGGGAAGCTAAAGTTGTACATACACTTAAACTTGTCCAAAAACGACCTGTTTTGATACTGGATAACTCCTTTCTCAGGTCAATACGAACTCCTACATGATTAATTTTATATAATTGAAAAAGAGAATTCAAAAATCTTAGATTTTGTGTGTGTTATTACGATATTTCTCAGGGATGGATCAAGGGGGAGCCTAGGGGACCAGGCCCTGTCATTATTTCTTCAATTTTCTTATGGATATTTACATCAACATTGGACTAATAACTGACTTTTTTGAAAAAGGCGACAAGATAAAAATACGATTGAATTTTGTTATTCAATACAATATATTATAATCGTTAATCATATTAAGATTATACTAATACCGTGAATACCTTTTTCGGGACCTCTATTTCTCTCATCACTTTCTTACAATATTTTAAATATTATTGTGTACTTATCTAGTTAATTAAAAAATATGTATATTAAATTGGGCTCGAATCCCTTACTGTATATAAAATAAAATAAACAAGTGCCATTCGTACTTCAATACATAAATGCAGAATATTGATGGCGAGAATAAGTTAGTTCTGCGAAACACATATAACTACGTTCCACGGGTGTGCCTGGGGAGGGGGGAGGGTGTTCAACTCCCCTCCCCCCTTAACCCCGAAAAAAATGTCTAGGCACGTTTGATTATCTTTATTAATGAATTATTCTAAGTTACTTAATTAAACCTTTTATTTAAAATAAACTAATACAACGAAAATTGTTGTTTTTTATGCATATTATTTTAAGTCGATTTTAAAATAATACATATGTTTAGGTGATTCGTGATAAAGATTTAGACCATGGTCCATTAAATACCATAATTCTATCCAGGTCAGATTTAATGCTGTTCGTGGCGTGTCAATTTGGGGCCATATTGTCCCTGGCATTGCCTATTAAATCTCAAATCAAATACAAAGAATTTTGTATTCACAACAAAACTATATCAAAGGTGAGTATCTCTTTTGATGAATGATTGCATGAAAGATTTAACGATTGCAATTGGCTCAACAGATGCGGCTGACAATAAATGACTCGACATTGATCACGTGTTCCATAGATGGTAGCATATGTATATGGTGTGTGAAAAACGCCAAGGGAAAGATACCACATGCTACAGCAACATTTTCAGATGACATTCTCGTTTCTTCTAATTATTTAAAGGATAAAGTCGAGACAATCTCAATTCTAAATTTAAGGTTAATAGAATTAGAAAAAAAAAGTGAAAATGATATAGTCCAACTAGAAAAATCGCACGAAAGACAGTTACGAGAAATAAAAAATCAACATTTTATGAAAATGGAATTAGTAAAACAAAAAGAAAACGTAAGATTGACTTAAATTTAGCAATGACGATCTATGTTCTGACAGTGTCGATCAGGGCCAATTTACGCCAAGTCATTTTTCATTTTTCATTTTTCATAACACTATTTTCATTTAATTTAATTTCATGCACATCTCTGAATATTATAGTTTAAAAACTTGTTTAAATGAAATTTATAACCATTAATCTATGATACCATTGATCTATGTATGATCTTTTATTTTTTTCACTCTACATATTACATTAACTCCCATTTTTTATCGGTTGTAATTTGTCGTTTCTGGATGCTGACTGGCAAATTACACATAATTAAGTGTTCTTATCATATTATAGTCATATACTCATATGTAATCTCTATGTACCTAAGAAAACCCAAGGTATAGTATATTGATTTTGTCTTTGTATATTTTTTGTCTGCTCAAGGTTTTAAGCACGCAACTCCGTTCTGTTAAAAAAAAACTTTTCAATTCAGTTGTTGACTAAAAGTCCTCATTTTTGTCATGCAATTCAGATGCAGCCTTAGAAACACCTAAAACTAAAAACAAAAATCTTATTTTTGTTCATTTTCCACTCAACAAATACAGTGTGTAAATGTTTATTGAAAACTCGAATTCTCTTTATACATTATGTAGAGTCCTGCAATTTAAATTATGTTTTTTAGTTGGCTATTATGATAAAAAAAAACACTTTTTTATGGTCTTTGAATTTTTTTTTAACCTAGACACGCGCTTTTGCATTAAACCTTTTTTTCTTAAATGCCAACTACCTATTTTAAAAACTAATTTTTATTCTTAATTTTTTAATGAATTTTGGAAGTCCCGCCAACTTTTTAAGACTAAAATTGACTAAGTTACAGATATTTAGCTAAAAAATTGCAAATGCCAAGCTATTATCAGTTTTTTGAATGTAACTCTGATAATGATTATTCTAAGATTGATTAGGCTTGAAATTTTCATCCGTATTTATTTAGCTGATATGTACATGTTATTATAATGTTAAGTACTGTATAATTTTTATTTTTATTTTGTGTATGAATTAATATGAAAAAATAATATAATTACATTGAAAACACACAAAAATTGCCAATTAAATTGCATTATAAATTGAAATTGTACGATATTGGTTCTTAATAATGGCTTTATGGTACAACCAAAGATTATCTACTCATAACGTAAACTCGGTTAATCATAATAGCGTTTTTATACAATAAATTACAATATTTTGTTCATTTAAACACACAAAATTTTAAACATTTGCAAAAACGTGGAAAATTGCAAACAATTGCATTATAAAATTAAATAGGCATAATGCATACACTATATATCGGCTACATTTGATCACATTTGGTTTATCTTTATTGCAAAAAAAGTTGGAATATCATTTAACCTTCAGTAAGTCGCTTATGGTAATTTATTAGTAGTTACCTAGATTATTATTGGAATTTTATCTAGCTTCTATTTATACCTATGTCATTGTTAGGTAAGATTAAGTTTGTTTAATGTTTAATCTATTAGTAATACGTTCAATACAACCGTTAGAAGTGTGCGTGTACGAGTTTGTCAAATTTTTACCCCGCCCGAAGGAATACGTTTTTTTTCCATAATATAATATATTATATTCGGAAATGTATGAATTAGAATGTCTATGAATTGCAGCGTTGATTGACGATTTCGATGATAATGACCATATTTGGGGAGGAAACTCTAGTGACGAAAAAGAGGATAATGTTGAAATTGTATAAAAAGATAATAACAAAGGTTTAATAAACAGGCCCCAAACCAGAGAGTTCGAACTCTTAAATCATTCTTAGCCTTTTATTGCCTTCTCATTTGGGCAGTACATTCCTAATAAGCCAGTCAAGTACGACATTAACATTTTCACTTTTTGTGACAATGTTACATATATTATACAAGGAACTTAGAAATGAGTGTAGGCAAATAGCCAAATAAACTAAACAAAAGATAAAAAAAAAACATCCAGATAACACACATTTCAATCGATAATTCTGCAGGTGAAGTAGGTAGTAAAACGGTTACTGTCTCCAATATCTAAAATAATCACAATCTTAAATTATAAGCTACAATAATGAAAAATAAAAGAGGGATTCCAAAAGAATTTATTTTTGCTAAAATTAGGGAACTTTGTCCTCCTTACGAAGATTTAGTCCCAAATATTATATATGCCGAAAAAAATAAAATCGCTCTTTGTCGACAATACAAAATAGTAAAATATAGATACCAAAGTACAGGCATAGCAAAAATAGAAGAAATTATTGCATTTTATAATGCCACAAAAAGAGCAGTTGATAATATGGATAGGATAACAGAAAACTATACGAATGTAAGACAGAGTAGCCGCTTACAGTATTTCATTTAATTTTTAATATTGGTGTTGTACATGGTTAAGTTATATATCACGTAAACAGTCGAACTAAATGAACTCGTCTTCTATTTTTAAAATTATTAGCAAAAACTCTTATGGATGAACAGTTACAATATTGTGCAACAATACTTTCACTTCCACTAAATATTAAAACGCGACTTAATATTTATGGGTACAAACCAATATTACAAGTAGGTGAGCAGCGGATAAGATTGTCAGGAAGATGTCAATTTTGTGACCGGAAACGTGATAGAAAATCAACAAATGTACTGATTGTGCAAAGTTTATATACAGAGACCACGAAGTAGAAGTATGGCCAGAGTGCTTTTGTTGAGATGAGAAAAATATTAATGTTAACATTTTTAAATTAGTTAAATATAATATATCATTTATAATCATTTACAAGTAAAAAAATAAAACAAATGTAAAATTAAAAGTATTGATTACATTTCATATTCTATTTTTATATACAATAAAAATTTAATTTAAAATTAATAAATGTTAAAGAAAATATATTATGTTTAATCAAGGAAAATTTTTACCCCTCGAGCCGACTGAAGGTTAAATCCGGTCTTCACCTATAGTAGAACCATCGTAAATAATCTTGGTCAATTTAAGACTTAAAAAGTTGATTAAATTTCCAAAATTCATTAAAATATAAGGGGAAAAAAGGAATAAGATGTTAAAATGGGTGGTTGACATTTAAGAAAAATAGTTGTACTGAACATGCGCATGTCTAAAAAAGTTAAATAAATTCAAAGGTTATAAAAATGTGGGTACACAGGTACGCCACTGTTTAAGTTACATTATGAAATTCATTAAAAAAATTATAGAAGAAAACATAAACAAAATTAAACTTGTTCCAATAATTTTATTTTAAGTTAATCATATTGAAACTTTTGTACTGTAATGAATTAATTGTATATTATTTATAAATGTTTAAGGAGATGTTTGTATTACATGTTGGTGATAGAACATGTTTAGAAAATAAAATCACTGATCTAAAGGAAAAGCAAGAAACCAATATGCAAATGTTGATAGAAAGTTACAAAGAACAATTAATATTCGAAGATGAGAAATACGTTAAGACTGAAAAAGATTTGTTTAATATAAATAATGATTTAAAAAGGTGAACAATTATATTTAAAAATATTTAACAGTTATTAATTGCTACCAATCACAATTTAGACATACAGAAATAATTTTAACGACACATGAGATTAATATGCAGGAATTAGCCGAAAAATTCAAAAAAGATCTGGAAAAAGAAGAGTACATTTTCCAAAAAGTACCTTTTTTCAACTTTAAACACTACCATAGGATTAATATATTAATATATTATATTAACAAACATTGTTGATAGTTCAAGGATGAGTTAAGCAAGGAGATGAATCGATATGATATAGAAATAGATGAATTTGACTATCAAGGAGATTGGGAAGTTTATGGGTTGTTTAATAATACTGTACCTGAATATCAAAAGTTGTCAAAGCAAATTAAAAAAACACAAGAGGAAGTCAATGACCTAAAAGTTAGGATTAAAACGTAAGTGCCACTTCAATGATTTGAATAAAAAATTTAAAATAAATGTAAATTATAGTGCTAGAAAAGAAGAAGATGACCTAAAGTTTTTGATGGATAAATTTAATGAGGACATTGGGAAAATGATAATTAATGAGAAAACGTTAGAAGAAAAAATCGAAGTGATGGAGAAGACGATGCAGGAGTGTAATGTGATTATACAAGGCAAAGATAAGTGGATGGATAATGAGAAATTGAGTATGAAGGACGTAGAAATACAAATATTAGTATTGATGTTTAATAAAGAAGAGCAAATTAAAGTTATAAATCCATTGAAAATGAAACTTGATGATTTGAAAGCATTCGAAGAATCGGTGAGTACTCAGAGAAAATACATTTAAAAGTGTTATTTTGCAAAGCAATTATTTTTACGGTTAAAACGATATTTGCTGCAGATGTTGTATTATGCATATGAAATTGCCAATTCGATGAAACTTATGCACTTAGAATGTGGTATGCTAAAACGAAAGATAAAATCTAAAAAAAAAGAAATAAAAAAAATTGTCGGAGCGATCAGTATACGGGAAGCGTTTATTAAAACCATTCAATTTGAAGCATACTATATTCACAAGGACATGGATGATGAAATCAAATTAAGAGATTCCATTAGAGTAAATTAAAAATTAAAATATCTATACAGTCTTAGCCATACTAATACAGGATTAGTTGGTTCATAATTGCTAGATTTCTTATGCTGGGAATGTAGTACAGTTTTAGATTTGCTTATTTGTGTTTTAGAGTTTACATCTTATATTTACAAATATAAATTGGTCGGAAGGAATGAAATCAAATAATTTGTTAAGGCAGAGACAGTTTTTAGAGAGGGCCGTGGCTAACCTAGAACGCCGCAAAACTGCAGCTGCTGAACGACAGAACCCTTTGCAATTCAATATTATTGAAGAAAACCAATCTCTAATATTAGTTGTAAACAAGTTGAGAAAAGAAGCAAAGACGAACCAGTCCAAGTACAAAGAATTACAGTGCATAAAGGGGAAAACCCATCGATCAGTATTTGTCGAAAATGTCAAAGAGGAAGATGATTCATTAACAGATATATGAAAAATTATCGAAGTGCCCCCTGCAGTAAATTGTTGTTATACCCTTAGTTAAGTTGTTGTGTAAAACCGTAACCATTGGAATATATTTTATTCAGAGGTCTGTTAATTACTAGTTACCTACGATACTTCCATAAAGACCGCTTAAGTTGAAGTTAGAGATACGAATTTCCAACAAATTATTGATGCATATAACTTAGAGTACCTACCTATAAACGCTTCAACTTAATAAACCATTTTATTCAATTTTGATATTCTTTACAGGCTACTATTAAAAATGCCCTCCTAAGTATCTGTTTAGACGTTTAGTTCGTGAAAAAGTAAGTTTCACAGTTTTGCGCCACGTTTACTAACTAAAGGATGAAATGTTATCTTGTACTCCTTGAAATTTACGACACCAAATCAGTTCCTACCTACAAATGTAAAACTTGATATGCGATAAATTATGTGATAAAAACTAAATAGACTGATAGACAATGCTGTGATTTTCTTATATGAAATCATTTCACTTCAGGTGAAATTATGATAAATTAAATAGGTCTGTCAGCAACATACCGGTTTTTAAAAACAAATCACGCATCCACTCTCTATCCAGCTCATATAATGTGGCGTAATCATTTTAAAGTTTCTCATTGGTCCTCTGCAGCCGCCGTCGACGAATCGGCAACCACTCCACCGTCAGCCAATTGGCGAAATGCTTAGGTTACAGACATGTGCATCACGAAATTATTGTTCATAACATTATTTATAAATATGTTCTTGTATTGATGTTTGTAGCTATACAATAGTAAAGAATATTGTAAATTGATATGTGTGTGATTTTTTCATGCGGTTGGTCTAAAGAATCTGCTGAATAAATCTTTTTAACTGGACGACCAGCTCGTATCTGGGAACGCGCACACGTAGCAGTCAGTTTTTGAGTAGCGCAATGCAAATACAGACCCTTTTGGAGTCTTCCTTTATAAGAACAGTTATCATGAAATTAAGAGTATAATTTTGACAAAAGTAATTTCTTCTCGTTAACTTGTATTTGTGCGTAATCGCAAAATGTGCATTTATAACACCTATTTAATTTATCTTGGGTGAAATACAAATATTAAAACATTCATGTTACCTACAACTGTTAACTGTCAGGATTAAACAATAATAATATTAAGACTTTCGTTAGGAAAAATTTACTTTTATTTAACACTGTAACAAATCACTTTAATATCACAACGGTGCAATTCCGGCTGGCACAGGGACAGGTCGCCTGAGCCGCTCAACATCAACTGGTTTACCCTCACTATGTACAGCACAAGCAATAACAACAGTACCGCTCATAGTGAGAGTTTACACAACGATATTTATATTCTTCTTATTGAAAAGAAGGAAAATAGGTAACCAATCTGTTATACTGTAAGTGCCGTATCTCGTTATTGGGTATGTATCCTACTCCCAGTGAATTTGAATTTAACTCTCAAAAGTTAGTACTCATTGATGATATTTCGTTGTGTGTTGAAAATAGTTTCTGAGTCAATCGACATTAAAAAAAATAAACAATTGATTTGTTCTACTGGACATTTACCATGTCACTTTGAATTAGATTAAAGTAAGACGAATTTATTGGTCTTGATTCAAGATGAGATTTCAGTAATGGATCATACTTTGCTTAAAGTGTAGCTCCGTTAGTTTAAAAATTAGAGTAAAGGTAAGATTATTATCTGGACAATTTCGTGAGTCTTTTATTATATTTTAATTTTAAAGCGGGTATGAGTATTTTAAGACGTATAGAAAGTATTTATACTTTTCTGTTCCGTATATCTGTACGTGATGCTAGACTTTTTTTGTTGGTTCTATTTAAAGTGTGATACGAGTAAATTTGAAATCATATAAAAAGATTAATCAAAAAATTTGTAGGAAAATCTTTACACGGGTGATCTAAAAACGTTGCATTTAACATTAAATCTCGTAAAGTTTTACCTACATTAGGCTGAGGGGCTAATTAAATGAAGTTATTAATAAAAATATTATCAACACAAAAATATATTCATAAAAACTAGAATTTGGAATTACCAAATTATAAAATAATGAAGAATTATTACTTTGGTCATATGATTTAAAATGAGCTTAATAATTATTACGCGACAAACTACTATTATTTTGTGCATAATCTAAACATATTTGGCATTGGTGTATTTTTAAGCATTATTTAATCAAGTAACTTCAAATATATGCTTTAGCATTTTGTTCGGGCAAATTTGCATCTTTATAGTTACTTAAGTCTTCAATAGTTAAAGGAATTTCGATTTCATTTCTTTCAGGAAAAATAATTTTAACTTCTTCAATAGGTATTTCTTCAAGAGTGACATGAATATCATATAAATCTTTAACATAATTAGTATCCTCTGAATACTCAAAATAATTTATTACAACATTTTTTTGAAAGTACGCTTGAACTGTATACACGTAGGGTTAAAACAGTTTTCATTTTGAATTCTAGTAGAACCAAAAAAATTTTCCAAACGGTCTTGATTTAGTCTACATGTGCAGATTCAAGATTGGATTTATCTTGATTGCCATTTGATAGATTAGAGTAAAGACGAATAAGTCCAGCTATTGATATTAACCAAGAGTTACTAAATTTGATATTATATTCTCTATTTATGGTACCCACTCATTTTTCAAACATCAAATTTATGGACTTCTAAATTTTTAAATAATTAGACATACAGCTTAAAAATGTTATTTGGTCTTCGGTTTGTAGATGGAAGACAAAACTGTTTGAATCCATTTGTTTTATCATCAGAGATTTGAGACGAGAATTAAAAATGTCAAAAAGTTTGTCAAATGAGTCAATAAATTCAATAGTATCGAAGGTGCTACAATTTAACTTGTCACAAGTAACTAGAGTAGTCATCCCTGACACAACTGTATGACTAAAAACATGAGCTGCATATTTATCACTCATTTTTGGAAAACTGTTTATGTGTATATCATTTAATTTCATTGCCAATCGATGTACTTGAGATTTATCATATTATACAATTGTTTCAGATAAATTTTTTCTGCTATTTTATTTTCTGACTTGAACCGATAGTTAAAAAAAATATTTCTTGTTGCCTTTAATATATGGGGTAGATCAAACATAAAAACAATTTCTTTACCACTAAACCCACACCTATCACCTGCTACAGATGCAGAAGAATATTTCAACCAAAGACAAATGCTAAGCAGGAACATAGTTGAACGGCGTAACAGAGTCTTCAAAATGCGATTAAGGTAACATTTCCAAAAATTTAGCCTACTATAAGACAGGACTTTTCATTATAAGCCTGAGAAATCCTCATCTATTGTAAATGAATGAGTAGTTTTGCATAATATTTGTATCAGCAACAACGTTTAAATGCATGGAGATTAGGAAGAAATTAATAATTTGGATATGATGATGAAATATTAACTGTTAACTACTATAACATGAAAGATCATAGCACAGACCTAACATTGGAGACAACAAAGAAATAGAGTGGTTCAGTTTTTATTTAACAGAAATGGTGCAGCATGAAATTCTTAGTGTAATATAATATGGATTTTACTTTTTAGTGAAGCTTTTTATTAAAACAACAGTAAATACTTACTTAATGTATTTTTTTACTTTGTACTTTAGAAATGATAGTGGATCGGTACAAGAAAGCGATACAGATTTTTCTTAAATGAAAATCCCCTTTTTACTGTAATTTATAAATGTTTTGAAATTGTTGGAGCATATAAAAAATGAGCACTTTAAAAAATCACTCAGTACACCTATAATAGAATTACCACATTTGGATCTTACATATCAGAGTTATATACTCTATTTACCGTAAGTTGACCTACTCACTCGAGGAGCACCCGTCGTGGGCACGCAGGCAACCGCGTCTTTGGACCAGTGCCGCATTAAGCCAAATTGCTGACCGGGGCAATATAAAATATTTACCCCTACATATTTTTAAAATATATCACATGATTTTCACCTCTCATTTTTCGCTATTATAAAGACAGCAGAAATATAGTTTAATATGTTTCTCCGTTAGAATTTATACTTAATTTTTTTTTGAAACACATTATTTATTTAATATTCATAATATAATTAATTGGAATTATAATCAAAAATTTAAAAATAGCAAATTAAAATACATTTTATTCAACTTATGTTGATTTTTTTCTTGATTTAAAAACTGCAAATGTTTGTATTTGTAAGACCAATCAATTTGTTGTAAAAGATCACCTTCTACATATTTTAATACGGACCGTGATGACATCTTTTCACTAACTAAAGCAGGCCTTAGATAGTTTTTTATCCCTTTTAATACAGAAAATGATCGTTCCCCACCACTTGCATTGGATGAAGCCATTCAACAAAATACTCTCAATACTATTTCCACATTTACAAATGTTGTCAAAACAGAAGAATTTGTGAGGAATTTTAAAAGATTTATGAAAGAATCATCTTCTTTTGAAAACAAATTGAAAATATTTTTAAATTGCACCAATTCTTCTATGAACGTCTCGTTTAAATCTTCAGGATACATTTTTTCTTGGTTTTTAACACTTTCATGTTTTCCGTTAGTATCCAATGTAACGTGTGTGAAGATGGCCCCCCCATGTTTTCATATAATTACAAAAATTACGCAAAAAATTTGCAACTGATTTGCAACTATTTGTAACGATGGTTTCATAATTTGCAACTCAATACTTGCAACACAATTTTTATTTTTTTACTGGGGGGGCCAACTTCACGTAGCCCCCCCAAATGGTCGTACCGGAACAAAACTGACACCAAAATGTTGCCCCCGATTTGCACCTATTTGCAACCATGGTTTTGTAATTTGCAACTCGGTACATTTGTCACAAAAACTTTTTTACTAATAACTTGTAATAAATATAATATACTTACCTACATTAATATAATATTAATGTAATTTGTGATTTCCAATGACCAATTGAGATAGGTAGGTACTTGAAAATGTTAAGCACTCCTTCTGCATGGGAAAAATAAACGGTTGTACACAGTAAACTGTGTTAAAATTGTTGGACATTGTCAAAAATTATTGACATACATTTTTTTTTAAAGAAAATATTAGTAAATATAATTTTTTTATGGTAACAAAATAATTAGGCATGGCTGAATGATTAATACAGTGGCGTCATTTCAGGTTTTGAAAGGGGGGGGAGGGGCAAAAGTTTTGACCAGCCCATAATTAAAAAAAAAACCGCTCGCTAACAATTACATTTTTATCTCAATACAAACAGCCTTCTTACAAAGTTATTATATATACATACAAGTTGGTTACCATAACTGTGGTTACTCTAGACATAAATAAGTAATAATACACATTTTTGATAGATAACAATGACTTATTAATACATAGGTATATAAACTATAATATGTAGAAGGATACCCAATATTACCTATTAGTATTTAGTATTAAGCATTGAGTAAACAATATATACTCAATGCTATTAGCTACTATATGATGACATATCTTAAGGGTAATTTTACCCCAATTTATGTCCTATTTGCACCATATATGAGTTTAATGGTATTAACAAAAAATAAAATAGGTTCTTATCAGGTTGTAAAAAATCTTATTAGGGTGTTGCCTCCGGCCCAACAGAGTGCAAGCACTGAAAACGCACGGCTTCACCCCCGTGCGCATGTCTATGAGCTGCACATTTATACACAAACAGAAATTAATGCTGTGAATTTCAGTAGGAGAGGTGATAAAATGTATCTGATTTGAATTGAGGAATATATCGAAATTTATGTTTCATAATGGGGAGGTTAACCCTTCGCGGCAAAATGGTCTGCGGCGAAATGGTACTGCGGTAAAACGGTCTGCGGCGAAAAGTCCGAGTTCGCCAATAACCAATTGTAAAAACTATAATCATGTTTTTTATAATATAAAAACAGTACAACTCCATTACATTATTGATAAATGTGTGCTGTGATGCCACAGTGGAAACTCGCCACATACGAGAACACTTCGTTGTATTTATAACATCCTGTTATATTTAAAACTAAACCGTCCTCAAAAAAACCCTATGCATGCGGCAATAACGCTTCGTGTGACCCGATCATTAAAATACTATTATTATTGTGTTTCAACTGTACCTATTGTTATTTCTTATGGCGCGGTTGACGTGTTGTTACTTGCGTGCTGTATGTATTTGGGTTTTCCTATTTTTTGGCATCGTCTAGACTCTAGATAATATGCCGTTGAGGATTTCTGTAGACAACAATAATATTATCCTCTAGTCTTACCCAATGATAACAAAATTGTTAAAATTAAATTATAGTGATCCTTTTCTCATTTGCAGTCCAGACGTGTAGTCGCATTCTCGAGCATTTTACTCACTATTTTAATATTGTTTATTTATTTTGTAATACCTAGCTTGTGTGTTGTTAGTTATTGATTTCATTTTAATAATATACATCGCGCGTTTATAATGGTAAGTTTAGAAATATATTTAATTACAATAGTGTGTACTTATTAGTAAAATTAATTTATTAAATTATGAGTACCTACTAGGTAATTTTTTTTATTGTCCACACTAATTTCATATTGGTTGATTTAATTTTTGTATGACCTTAAGAAGTTATAATACTTAATTTTTAACAAGAGATTTGATTTGATTATATTTTTATCTTAACGATAAGTAGGGAGACTGGGGAACATTTGAACACGGGGCACATTTGAACACTTACAATAAGTCTACAAATATAATATTTAAAATAATACGAAAATCGTAATATGTTGGCTACACTGTAGTTTCACATGTTTGTAAAGACTTATCAACACTACCTATGATACAAAAAAAAATATCAAAAAAAATCAAATATTGTTATTTTTCTTATCATTTTTAACGTAAGAATTTAAGGATATATTGTTATTCAATTTTATTACAAGGTACTTTGTTATTAGTTAGGCCAATAGTAAATTTAACGCTCTTTCCAACTCTATTAATGGTTTTTATTAGACGTTGTCTATGAAAATTGAATAATAGTTTTCATGTTAAATTTGCTGTTGGGGTACATTTGAACGTATCATAGTGGGGTACATTTGAACACTATAATGCAAATACACTTTTAAACTTTTTTTATATTTTAGTCAAAATGGTTAGAAATTATGTTAAAAAAACCAAAAGGGATGAAATTGAAATGGAAAGAAACATACAAGCTGCCATACTGCTGTATAAAGAAGGAAGTATGGGTTACCGTGATGCTGCCAAGCAATTAGGGATAAAGCACACAACCCTTTTTTATAGAATTAAAAAGTTAAAAAACGTTGAAGGTATAATACAAAATAGTGTTGACGATAATCGTTTTAATTCCAAGTACACTGTTAACCAAATTTTTAGTAAAGAACAGGAGGAAATGTTATTAAAATACATTTTAAGGTGTTCCCAAATAAATTATGGCATGACTTTGGTACAGATTAGGAAACTAGCATATGATTATGCAGTAAAAGTAGAGTTAAAAATTCCTGATTCTTGGAAACTGAATCTAACTGCAGGCAATGACTGGCTTTATTGTTTTATGAAACGTCACCCTAGTTTATCAATAAGAAAACCAGAAAAAACAAGTCTGTCTCGAGCTACTTCTTTTAACAAAACTAATGTTATGTTTTTTTTTGATTTATATGAGAAAGCTTTAAAAAAGTATCCTGTAACACCGGATAGAATTTATAATATCGATGAAACAGGTGTGAGTACAGTAGTTGATCCACCTAATGTTGTGGCTCAGAAAGGTGTTCGACAAGTTGGACAAAATGTCTCTGCAGAACGTGGTCAAATGATAACAGCATGCATGACTATTAATGCTGTTGGTCAATCATTGCCACCAGTTTTCATATTCCCTAGAGTAAGAATGAGTGATCTACTTATGATTGGAGCTCCTGACGGTAGCTTAGGACTTCCTAATTCAACACAAAGTGCTTTGATAAATTCAGCTCTTTTTGTTAAAGTGCTTGAACACATTAAAAATCATACTAGATGTACTAATGAAGACAAAATTTTACTTTTAATGGACAACCATGAGTCACATTGTTCACTTGAAGCTGTTAGTTATGCTAAAGAAAATGGTATTGTATTGGTAACATTTCCTCCTCACTGCACACATAAGTTGCAACCACTTGATGTTGGAGTTTTTGGTCCATTTAAATCAAAACTTAAAATTGCACAAAACGACTGGCTTACTAATAATCCTGGGAAAACTATAAGAATTCATGATTTGCCAAGCCTAACTAAAATAGCTTTTATAGAATCTTTTTCAGTAAAAACTATTGTTAATGCGTTTGCCAAGCCTGGGATATGGCCGTTTTCAAGATTAGCTTTTAGTGAAGATGATTTTGCTGCAGCTTATGTTACAGATAGACCTGACCCAAATTCCACTCAAACTGTAAATTTACAAATTCAACCAGATATTAGTATTTCTAGAAACAACCAACCAAATGAAAATGTATGTGATTTTGATATGATAAATTCTCAAACAGAAGTTCCTACTTTTACTGATCTATTAGTAAATTCTACTGAACAATGTTGCACTAATATTAATGCTCATTCTGTTACAAGTGCAGAATTAGATTCAACAATACATGAAGAATTAATATCCCCAGAACATGTGCGACCATTTCCTAAAGCTGCACCTCGTGTTGAAAGGAAAGGGGGCAGAAAAAAAGGAAAGGCTAGAATATTAACTGAAACTCCTGAAAAAATCCGAATTGAACAAGAAACGCAAGAGAGATTATTAAAACGGAAACTTCCTGCAATTGATAAAATTAAAAAGAAAAAGAAATCTAATAGCTCACAACCAACTACAATTACATCTAAAAAAGTAAAGAAAAATCTCAAAAAAAGACTATTCAGTTTTGATTCCAAAAGTGATACTGATGAAAATGATCCTCCTATGATTTTATTAAATAACGATTCAGATAATGAAAATTTAAATTGTCCTGTTCACTTTGGGGATTTTGTATTGGTTAAGTATGAAGGTAAAAAATTCTATAAATATTTTGTTGGCTGTGTTGAAGATATTAACAATGATGACATTGAAGTGTCTTTTTTAAAAAGAAAAATGGGAGATACTTTTTACTATCCTACAGATCAAGAAATTGATAATGTACCTCAGAGTTGTATAGAAAAAATTTTGCCAAAGCCAAAACCTATTGGGGGAAGTGAACGTTCGGCATTTTTACTGAAATTTGAAAATGTTGACTTTACAAAATACAAAATGGGTTAAAATAATATTTTAAATAATGAAATGTTTTTTTACAAGGTCTTTTTTTAATAAGTAACAATTTTAAAAGGATAATTACTTTATTTTTTATTTGCTAAGAGTCATTTAGGAAAGTTTTATAACTAGGTATCTACTTAAGTTAATATTGTTTTGTTTAAAAGAAAATTGTTTAAGTTTCAATTGTTATGTTTTT